GAAGGCTAGGGTGGCTCTAGCAAGCTGAGCTTAGAGTTAGAGATTATGATTGAGTGCTCGACAAACGTCGTGCGTAGCATTGGCCGTGCGCTACATCTACTACTTCACCGTGGCCGATCTATTAGTAAAACTCGCTTCATCGTGGCTGATCTATCAGCTACACAGATCGATGGGATACACAGCCCTTTGAAATCATTCCACTACACAACACATTGAAATACCAAAATACGCAATAAATACAATGGAAGAAAATAGATATCATAACATCACTGAAAAAAAAACAAATTCCCCATGAGTACGTAGCTCCATCCACAACGAATATCACTAATGTCCATATGCATTCAATGCATGTGTGCGCACACATACATCGAAACCCAGGTCACTCGTAATACCCCTCTCCTCAAGATCTTTAAACAACCCTGCCATTGTATATGCCATGTTTCTCACTAAATATACTCTGCCGTATTCAGCGTCACATTTTTCCCAGAATAACATCATCTGTGCTTGCCATTATCGCGTTGCCAGCCTTCTATAGCATCCAACTATACACCTGCGCATAACTATATATCATACGATTATCTACTGTGCCTTCAATCATTATGGCGTGACTGAACGAATCCTTATATCGTTCAGGTACGCCCTAGTATCTTAGGGTGCTTACACATTGAGCGTATCTATATTCCGTGCTCCCTGACACGTTATGTGGAGGATTCCCAGCGTATATATGTGGTGACAAAAATCCCCCATAGTCCTTATTTCGGACCGTGCATACGCGACTTGTCTTTACAGAGACATAACTTTAGCCGCGTATGCTAACCTCGTTTCCATGCGTTAAACGTGACGCATGATACGTTCGCGTAGGGCCCTCTTCGCCCTTTATCACACGCGTGCCACGGCTATCTATCCTAGCCAGTGTAACGCTCTCTATACGTTGTGCACCCTATATAATTCTTGAATGAAATAAGTTCATTGGATTTCGTTGAAAACTATGAATTCATATTTATCTTGTGTTAAATCCAAGAATTTCATGATTTATAATTCTTGCTGTTTTACACGTTGTTAACGTCGTTGTGCGTTTACTGGGTTGGGTGTTTTTCAGGAGGAGTTTGCGGCGGTGAAGAAGAGGAACAAGCAACTGTGTTTCATCCTTGCTCAGGGAGAGATGAAGGAGAAAGCTGAGGTGCTCCTGCAGATGGAAGAGCTGCTCGCCGTACGAGACGAGATGACCCAGCAGGTATGCTCGTTATCTACCTGTATCTACCTGTGATGGCCCAGCAGGTACGTTCACCTCTCGTTGCCTACCTGTAACTACCTGTATCCATGCTGGGTCCACCCATCTATACCTGTGTGTGGTGTCACTATGTATACCTTCATCTAGTGTTATGTATATTTATCTACCTGTTTACACCCTGCATCTACCTGGTATCTACCTGCATATATTTGTGTATACTTGTATCAAGAGCTCATAATAGAGAAGAGTATGACACCGTTTTAACAGCGTTTTGCATAGTTTTCAACTTGTAAATATTCTATCAATATGTGAATAAATATATTCAAACTTTACCTTGTTTTCGTCTATGATTCTCCCTTAATCATATGACACCACTAATTTACCTGACAATCGTATGTGTTCTTCAAAAAAGTTCTTTGAATACGACACGGTTTCACACAGTTTTCCCAAATGTTCGCATGTATTCGGCGCATGTTGATATGCGGCGTCAGCACCAGGTTGTAACTACGGGACGCTGGGGGCTGTTGGGGATATTATGTAAGCACAGTAACAGCACTTGTTTTGCTTCCTTATCGTCAGGAACACGATGGCAACACAGCTAAAATCAGCTGCTAGCTTGGCGTGAGAACACATTTATTTCTAGCACGCTGGAAACGCTACACGCTGAATACAATTCGATGCCAAATATCCCCAACAGCCCCCAGCGTTCCGTCATAGACAATAGAACACTAATTCGATAATAAACTTGCGCCGAATACATGCGAACATTTGGGAAAACTGTGTGAAATCGTGTCGTATTCAAGGAACTTTTTTTGAGAACACATGACGATTGTCAGGTAAATTGGTGGTGTCCATATGATTAAGGGAGAATCAAATAGATGAAAACAAGGTAAAGTTTGAATATATTTATTCACATATTGGTAGAAATATTTACAAGTTGAAAACGCTGAGGCACGCACGCAGCACGCTACGCAACGCACACACAAGCGCACGCACGCACGCACGCACACACATATATACATACATACAGTCCGATCTCCTTATTCGGCCACGTTGGGACCGGCACCCATCCGGATATGAGAGTTTATGCTCAACAAAGCATTTCTGTTCAGTTCAGTAGAGTTTATGGCATGTGATAATGTATTTACTCGTTGGTATGATTATTTGTAACAAACTTTCGTGTTTTAAGGTTTATATGAAATGGAAATAATATGAAAGAAAACAGGAATTTTACCGGAGGCATAGTGGACACGAGCGGACAACACACACAGACACACACGCGCGTGCGCACACACATGCAAACACACATACGGTTGGTACATCGCGCAAGTTTTGAGCGAGATTTTTTAGGTGGAAATGAATGAAGAACAGAGAATATACACTGCGAGATCGCGGCCGGTTATAGCCGGCCGGCTCCTTTATTTCCGGATAAAGGAGGTCGGACTGTACATCTGTGTTTGATTTTTCGTGTTGGACGCTAGGTGACTGAGTTGCATGGCTTGCTGGAACAGGAGCGATCCAAAGTCCATAGTCTGACCTCAGAGCTTCAAAAACATCAGGTGGGTTGTGTGAATTGATGTGTGTGTGTGCGTGCGTCCCGCCCCACACTACCCACCTATCTACCTATCTAGCTAACCTACCACCTACCTACCTACGCTACCTCCATTCTACCTATTTAGCTACTTACCTACCTACCTACCTCAACAGCTCCACAGTATATAGCAAAGTGCCGCCATCTATTGGAGGAAAAAAGTGGAATCGAAAATACGGGGAAAAATATCGAGTATCGGATCGAGGGAAGAGAATCTCGATCCGATTCGATTTCGGTGGATCGTTACAGCCCTACTACCTACCTACCTGCCAATCTCCCTACCTATCTACCAAGCTACCTACCTACCTACCTACCTACCGCAAGCTACCTACCTACCTACCTACGCTCCTCTCCTACCTACTTACCTACCTACCTACCTATCTACCAAGCTACCTACCTACCTACCTACCTACCTACCTACCTACCTACCTACCCACCTACCTACCTGCCAATCTCCCTACCCTATCTACCCAAGCTACCTACCTACCTACCTACCTACCTACCTACCTACCTACCTCCTACCACTACCTACCTGCCAATCTCCCTACCTATCTACAAGCTACCTACCTACCTACCTACCTACTTATCTACAGCACCTAAACCTACCGCTACGCTACTACCTACCTACCTACCTACCTCCTACCTACTTACTACCCTACTACCTACCTACCTACCCTACTACCCACCCACGCCACCTACCTACCTGCCAATCTCTTCTACCCTATCTACCAAGCTACCTACCTACCTCACCTACTACCTACCTCCTACCCTACCTACCTAACTTACCTATCTACCCAGCTACCTACCTACCCACCTACCTACCTGCCAATCTTCCTACCTATCTACCAAGCTACCTACCTACCTACCTACCTACCTACCTACCCACCTATCTACCTACCCACCTACCTACCCACCTACCTACCTGCCAATATCCGCTACCATATCTACCAAAGCTACCTACCTACCTACGTACCTACTTTACCTAGCTACCTACCTACCTCCTACTCTACCGTACCTACTACCTACCTACTACCTACCCTACCTACCTACCCACCCACACTACCGGCAATCTCCCACCTTATCTACCAAGCTACCTAACCTACTACCTAACCTACCTACCTACTTACTTACCTACCTACCTACCTACCTACCCCACCTACCTACCTACCTACCCTACCTACCTACCTACCTACCTGTCTACTAACCCACCTACCTACCTAACCTACCTACCTACTACTTATCTACCAAGCTACTACCTACTTACTTACCTACCTACCTACTTACCTACCTACGCTACTTACCTGCCAATCTCCCTACATATCTACCCTACCTACCTACCTACCTACCTACCTGCCAATCTCCCTACCTATTTACCTATCTACCAAGCTACCTACCTACCTACCTACCTACCTACCTACCTACCTACCTACCTACCAACCTACCTACCTGGCAGGAGGCGATAGTTTGGCACATACAGAGCCTACTCTAGTACTAGCCATGCAACTGGTCTTCACATGTTTAACTCTCGCGTTGCAGAAGCACAGCAAGAAGTGAACCGGTCACCCGATGTCCGCCGATCTTCCCGCACGTTCCAATAGATGGCGCTACTTGTCACGACGTTCCCACCGCTGCTGTATTGTCTACCGACTTGTTGCACAGTGATTCAGGAAGAAAGGGAGGAAGGAAGAGAGGAAGGAAGGGAGAGTAAAATAGGAAGGGATGAAGGAAGGGAGGTAGGAAGGTAGAGTAAAAGAGGAAGCGGTGACGGAAGGGAGAGTAAAATAGGTGGGGGTGGGGGTAGGAAGGGAGAGTAAAAGAGGAAGGGACGAAGGAAGGGAGAGTAAAAGAGGTAGGGGGAGGAACTGAGAGTAAAAGAGGTGGGGGAGGGAGGAAAGGAGAGTAAAAGACGTGGAGAGGGAGGAATGGAGAGTAAAAGAGGGAGGGAAGAAGGGAGAGTAAAAGAGGTGGGGGAGAAAGGGAGAGTGAAAGATGGGGGGGGACGATCTTGAATACCTTGCGTGCTTTCGTGGCACTCTCCGGTCAGATATTTCCCAATCACACCCTCGTATCACGACCTACTGGTTTTCTCTTTCTCTGCCGAGTCGTGTGTCATTCTCCCATCCCACACGACCTCCTCCCCCTCCCCCTCCCCCTCTCCTCGAGTGAGGCGAAACGGTTAAAACACGGTCCCTTGATTTTTTAAGCTCCCTTGATCTGTGTGGGCCGTCAGATTGTCCTTCGACCTTTTCTGTCTTGCGTCGCGAGGTGGGAGGCGCGTGCCAGTGGAAGTCGATCGCAATGCGGGGGGTCAGTTCCATTTTTACGTGACCGTGGTTTTGGGATGCTGCTGCGGCAGCGAGCGTGTGCGGGGCAGGGCGGGGCGGACGGCGGGAGAGGGAGGAGAGAGACTGTGGGGGAGAGCTCGTTAGCGCGGTTGGGGCATCTCTGAGGCACATGCGGCGCCGATCACATACCATGGAGCCGGTTGTCTGAAACGTAATTAGTTAATCAATCATTCATTAAACGTAATTAGTCTCGATGTTAGTCTCTTAACGTCGACTTTTTCTTGTGGACCGGACCACCGTGCACTGCGTATGAGAAAATCGTAACTTTACCACGTTTCTGTTGTAGAAAGTTGACGCCCTCCCTCCTCTGTACCATTTTCGCACAGACTTGACTGCTAGGCCCGTTGTCAGACAGAAAATTTGTCTTAAACTTAAACATGAAGATTAAGCTTAACCTGAGACTTGAGATATCAACTTTTTCTCGTGGGCTGTTGACAGAAAGACCTTTAAGTTCTGAGAATCTCAAACGCAGTGTATAGTGGTCCGGTCTGCAAGTAAGAAGTTAATGTTAAGACTAATGTTAAAGTGATTACGTCACCGTAAATAGTAAAAGTAAAAAAAAACATTTCCACTTTTTCACAAAATGGAAGTGATTCTGTTCACTTTTTATGGTTAAATTGCTGCATTATACTTCCTAATTTTGGTATTCCGTTTGATGTGAACTTTACTCGTGACTCGTACATAGCCCAGCCAAGCATTTAATGTCGTGATCAATATATCAAATCGCCCAGGTTTTTTGGATTTTAACTAGTAGAGAAACAATCTTATCAGGTAAGAATTTGAGGATAGATTTAGTCCCGTTAGTACTTAGTCTTCATGTAAAAAACGCAACAACATTTTTACAAATATACACCATAGAAAATTCGTGACGTAGTCAATTTAAGACTGATTTTGTTTTGGACAAGCGAGCACCATAGTTAGACGCGTCTGCGATGGAATCAGAGATTGTTCGTCTGCGTCGTACAACGCGTCGACCAATCGCACCTTAGCATTTCTACCGAGCATTTACTATCAACTAAAGATCGAAGATGGATCGAAGTGATATCGAATGAACTGTGCTCCCGTAGCAATTACGTTGCGTGTTTTCGCAACCGGATGGTTATGTAATGACGTAGATATCGAATAATTAATATTAATAATTAATAATAATAATAATTATAATTATTAATATAATTGATTATGTAAGTTAAATAATTCGATATCTACGTCATTACAGTTAACTGCTTGGTGTGATTAGTTATCTGTCGCGGTTAAGTGTTTGTATTCGTAGGCAACGCGGCTGTGTATATTGCGCGAAGGTCAAACGTGCGTCCTTGACTTTCTGTCTCTCCGTTTAATAGCAAAACTTTCGTCAGTTTGGTCGTTCGTATTATGTTCAGAAATTCGCTCGTTCGATTTACCGACTGGATCTAAACTTTAACACGAAAAATAAACGAATGAAATTGGTTCGGGTTTTTTTGTGGGTGTGCGTAAAGCAAACGTTTTGGTAACGCCAGGAACATTGTATTGTTTTAAATTCTTTTACATTTTATGGTTCGTCTGTAAAATAAGTTCATGTGTTAATAAACTATTATTTTTCCATTAAGCATTTTCGTATTGTAGTTTTATCGGTATCGAAGTGGTCAATAGAATAATTATTCATTCAACTGTTATTCTCACTGTTTTTAATACGTATATTTAGTCATTCGCGAAGGGTTCGTGTTTGGGAGCAATGAACTGATATTTCTCAATACACACACACACACACACACACAAACACACACACACACACACGCACGGACGCACACATACACACGCACACACGTACAATGTTTGATATGTATTATATTGTTATTATATGTTTTGGGGCCAGTCCTCATTCATTGACATACCAGAAATGAGCAAACCCCATTGAACCTGAACTGACTTATGGCCATTTCCATTTTTGCCAAAAAGTGGATGTGGCTCGAATGTAGATCAACTGGCCAAAATAGGACGTTCAAACCCTCTCCCATAGGAGTAACAACTATATATGCAATTGGAACCATGTGGGTCAAATGGTTCTTGAGTTATCGTTGACCGTAGCCAAATGTTGACGGACGGACGGACGGACGGACGTATGACGGACGACACCCCATGGCAATAGCTCATCTTGACGATGTCAAGGCGAGCTAAATATAGGAATTATAGGAGCTCTGGGAGCCATGTATTTGATAAACAAGCTATCTACATTTTTAATGTTAGCTTCCTTACCTATAAGAACGAACCTACGCCGTTCGATAAACTTCTCTTAGTTACTAAAGAACGTTGATTATCGAACGTTATAGAACTGTTACATTACCAACACGTATGTTCTATACCAGAACGAAACCAGTTTCTAATGAACTAGGAATTTAACTTCTCACCAACCCGCGACGACAAAAATATATCATTAAATATATTTGCATATTATAGTATTGATGCATATATCGCATGAATTATACGTGATAATAGGTGCGTTCACACTGGCGCGAATTAGCGGGCTGCAAATCCCGGTTTTTGCAGCCCGCTCAAAATACCGAGCTTTTTACAAGTTTGAACGCAATTAGCTCACTAAATCGCGCTCAAAATAGCGCGCTGCAAAGAGCACTTATGACTGCGCTAATTTGGAATCAGGGCGCTTATTTGCACCGCGGCGTGATATTTGCACCGCGGCGATTAGCGAGATATTTCCGCCTGTGTGAACAACGACACAATTAGCTCACTATTATCTCCGCTATTAGCGGGATGAGCAGCGCGGTTTTACTTGTGTGTGAACACGCCTAATAGTAATAATTCCAGCTAAGTGCCATCTGTTCATCATAATGCAGATCAAAGCTTTCCGATTCTACATGGTTGATACCTCGGTAAACAGTATACGGTGGGTATACGGTATCGCGGCGCCTTGTTGCTATAGCTTCACAACATGGGCTGTTAGTGGAACACGTATGCATTCAGCAGCGAGCATTGGACCACTGCTACAGCGCTGACTTGATAGCCGTGACCAGGAGATGCTGCCCTGGAGTGGCTCTCGTTCAGAGCTTCCTCAGCGACCGTGGAATGTATAGCGGGGCATTGCCGGCGTTTATTGACGACAGCGGTTGGTTTTCGAACAGATGGAGCCACTCGCACCTTACCATTGTCTTGGAAGTTGCTGAAAAACAATATTCTCAGGCAGTCGTGAAAGACGATACGCGAGTAGCTTATGTTTAAATGACGGTATAGGAGGCATACAACAGTAAGCCTTCACAAATTGCGGTATACCGGAACGTACCCTGGTACTATCTAATATGCCGGACCGTACCTCGCCTACTCCACTAACGAGTCTAGGGGGTCGCCTACGATCACATCCATTCATCCATCCATACATTTATCCATCCATCCATCCATCCATCTATCCATCCATCCATCCATCCATCCATCCATCCATCCATCCATC